TAAATTAATCGCACAGATAGACTTCATCTGAGTCAAGAATTGAGGCTTTGACGTTAACACAGTTGGGGGGGGACCGCACTGGATCATTACTTTGGTAGCAGGTGCAGGTGACCAGTGTCGCCACGGTCGACCTGTAAGAGAATAGCATCGTGATATGTGAAAAAGCGGTGTCAGTACGACCCTTCCCCTCACTTCCCTTCTCTGGTACGAGCCCCGAAAACTGCCGTGAAAGGTGGGGCAGGGGGGGGGGTGGTCGTCACCAAGAACTACTAATTGCAACTATCAGAAAAGTTGCTTAGTAATTCTGCGCCGTGCCGCCAACCAGGGGCCTACTCTGGAACCGTGGCCCCATCCAACTACGTTAGCGCCGAAGCTTTCCATACTTTCTGCGACATCCCGTCTTCACAGCTCTCAGAAATATTTCGAATAAAAGAACCAATCTTAGTTTTTTCAAAAGCATCTTTGACATTCATTTCAAACAATACGTTCCAGTTGATAAGAAAATGCGCGTTTGTGAAACAAATGTTGCCTGTCACTAACATTACACCACTGCGTTTTCAATTCGAAGGGAGGGGGGGAGGGGGGGGAGGGGGGGGGGGGCGGTTTACATTCCTAGGCGATTACTTTCTGCTCTGTTTTGAACAAACAACAGAAAGCAGTTCAATCAGAATGAGTGTGTCATCAACAACAACAATAGCGCCGCGGTGTGCGGGGGCAATATTTCCTCATTCCGAACACCCCTAACAATGAGAAGGAATGGATGGGAGGGGTGGATTCGGGAGGAAAAATCTTCAACAGAATACCCTATGCCAGGAGGACCAATGAAGATTGTTTGGGAGGGGTACGCATCCAGCCAAAAATCTCCCCAACATCAGGACGAATGCGTGAAATAGGTGGAGAGACTCCAGGGAGGTTTTGGCCAAGCCTCTTCTCCCATGGGAGATTCTCGACGAAATGTCTCACGGTCAGTTTTTGTTGCCGCCAGGGGCAAGGGAAGATTTGCGCGGCCATTCGCTAGGAATTCACGATTGAAATGGTATTGACCTGTTACTTACTTCAGCTGGTTAATGTAATTTGTTTCTTTCAACTGTACCAGGTTCCAAGGGCCCTTTCGGTACAAACTGCAATCTCATTCGCTGCGGATGCTATGGCGTGTCACTATGTTGGATTTGATGCGATGCCAGCCCGTTCTCCACCAATTGTGGTGCTGGAAGGCAACCCCAAGTGGTGGAAAACTAGCTGGCACCGCATCAACCCCAGCCTTCCTGACGCTTCACAGCGTGCGCAGCAAATAAGGCTGTACTCTTATTTGATTGCTTGTGTATTCAAGAACATTAAAGATGCATGGCGTGACTTGGAGTGCTTCTTTATCTATTCTGTTCTATCGCTGTTGTGTTGAGAAGATTGTGGAGTGACTAGTGGAATACTATACAGTACTCGTGTGCCTTTTCAAAAGTAACTTATGCGAAATTTAGTAGTGTAACCTATGAGAATGCCCTCGGGGGCTTGAAAAAACTATTGCTTATAGATATGTACACAATGATATCCGGCGAGCTGATTCCTTGCGTGCCGCCGCGTGCAGTCGCGTCACAGCAATAAAATAATATTGAGCCCCTAAAACTTGCTGAATAGCTGCTGCCTTTGGTTTTCTTGAAGACACATTAGATAGATGGGAAAGGGATGGAGCTGCTTTCCTCATTGGTGCCGTCCGCAGTGTTTCGCCTGTCCAATTATCGCAGATTGTTTCCTTAATTGTTTGTGGTCCCTAACTTAAAGACACGTCTTGCGATCAGAAATGGGGTTCGGACCTGTTCCCACTCGTTGGTATCATAACGATATCGGCTAGTTGCCCTTCTCACTTCACCAGAAATGGGCTATTAGAGAATAGCCTCTGTAGGGAACGTTATAAGTGATAAGTGAAAGCGCTGGGCGTGGCCTTGCGCAGTGGGCGGCCTTCACAAGCGCCTAGCGTACTTATCACATATTTATGAGCTGTGGAAGTGGTACACTCCATGTGCCTACGCATAAGTCTATCCCATCCAAGGAAGCTGTTTGCACATCAAGCAAACGCGGGGCGTACCTTTGATAATGAATTCGGGAATTTCTCCGGCGCACCCAGGGCACATCATTGGTTGGGGATTTTAGTAGACCCGCCCCTTTTTTGGGAGTTGGTACGACCCCCTCCCTCCCCAGCCCTCTGTCCTTCCTCATCGACAGAGGGCCGGGAGGGGGGGGGGGGGGTAAATAGCACATGTGAAACAGGAAAAGCCGCGAGACAATACGACCCCCTCTACAATCAGATTTTCCCCAACTTCCTGCCCCTTTTTTCCAAAATTTCCCGAAAACTTCCCTACTTTTTATCAAAAATTTTGCTATTGAGAGGGGGGAGGGCATATAGTACGAGAAACAGGAAAGTCACCAAAAGTCAACCACCACTCCTACAACGCCGAAACGTAAATACGACCCCCTCCCAAAAATGACCAGTTACGACTCCCCCCTCCCTTTACAACGTCCATGAAGCGAGAAAAATCAACTACCCCCTCTTGGCGACCAAATACGACCCTCCTCCCTGTTGGGATTCCCCGACAACGATGTGCCCTGGGCGCATCGTTGTTGGCGGAATCACCCAACAAGGGGGGGGGGGTGCACCTGACTTTATCGTCGGATCATTAAGTATGCTGACGCGCCTACGCGCTACTAGACGGGGTACCTTTCGGAATGGCAAGTGAAGTCTTGGTCCCAGGCCTTGGTCGTCAGAATCTATAAGTGCTTACAATTATACCCCTTAGGGTAATCATCTACGCACAAGCAGAGGCAGCTCTAACTATTTTTTTGCTGAACAGCATGCACGACATCGTTTTTGTGTCGTAAACTCTGTAAATATCTTACCCTTTTCTTTAAACCTTGGGCAGGTGTCGCTTGAATGATCCGCGGTGCGGCGACGCTCACAAAATAGCAGAGTATTTCACAACTAGTTTGCTTTATTTGCTTCACAACACCTCCGCTGTTTCTGACGCTGCGTCGCCACAATGTTTACGTCCTAAATGACACCACAGCATGCTGAATATTCCTTTTCGGGCAGCACGAGTACTGTATCTAGAGAGTGATTCCTAGTTGTTTAGGTAGAACACGATTACGCCATGTTTCTACATCGAAAAGGCCTACCGCCTAGTTCATTCTTCCCTGAACAGCCATCGGTACGAATATGGCATTCTTAGAAATAAGACTGTTTTTCTTCGCCTCTTCAATTATAAATTATCCGAAAACTAAAATGTTTCTGAAAAAACCTGCAATTCATTGGGGGCAAAGAAGGTTTACTGCCAAGCGGCGCTGCTCATCACGCGCACAGCCAGGGGCCGAATCTTCAGTTCTATTTTAACCAAATAGGTCTCAAATCTATTTGAAATGAAATAACTAGTAACAGAATCCTCTGATTGTGAGAAGATAAGAACACAGGCTTCTGCATGAGCTGGGCTGCACAAGTCACTTTAAAGTCCAAGAAGCTTCAACACTGGCATCACAAACCTATGTAGAAGTGGAAATTGATCAATTCGAGAGCCTTTTTCCTTTCATTACATATTACTTTCCAGTAACATAGATATAACATCATTTCTAGTATATCCTTCGCACGAAAGCTGCTAACACTGGGAACGTCTCGGGTGCATTTAACAGCTTCGCTCTTTTGTTTTTATTCGTCACTGAGTGCAGTCTCGTTCGCTGCGGACGCTTGGGCGTCTCAGGATCCGGGTTTGGCGCAGTGCCAGCTTGTTTTCTACCAATCACGGAAGCTGGCAGGCGACCACAGTTGGTGGAAAGCAAGCTGGACCAAACCCTACCCCCTCCCTGAACCGCCTCAGCGTCGAGAGCGAACAAGACTATTAGCTCAGCAGAATACTGATCCTCGCAGAGGAAAAGGTGCCTTAGGAATAAGTCAGTATCTGCTACTTGTATGTATTCTTCGAAGTCTCATGACCAGATATGCCAGCTTAGTGACATTAGGATTTCCTTAAAGCCGTGCAGAACTTCCTTAACCCTTGACCGCGCAGTCAAATTGCGGCATGGTCTACGAATCAGAGCCAAATAGAGGCTAGACCGCTTGCCTCAGTATTTTTTTCATGAAGAACGGCATATCCATACCACGGCGTTTGAAGGGGCGTGCCCGCGGGCTAAGTTGAGAGTGCAGCAGCAGTTGGTATCCGTGGAATGCTGTCGATTTGGGGTAGAGACGTAGCTAGCGTAGATGGAAGGGCCCATGAATTTTAGCTAGTGCTCTGATGTCTGCTCTGAAATGGCACCTTCCACAAACACGCAGCTATTAGGTTGTCGCCGGAACAAGTTTCTCAGCGTGTTAGTGGCTTCACTTTATAAACGGTCATAACTTTTTTCCAAACCTCACTAAACAACAAAGCTTTTCGGATTTAATCGAAATAGGCACCATTCGAATCAGCACACTTTTGCAAATGTGACAGCAGTCGGAAAATCCCATCAAAGTGAAGAAACTGGGTGGTCGAAAATTCACGAAATCTACGAGGGCTTTTTTTGCCTGGTCCTGTCTTTTCCAGCAAGAAAGTTCTAAAATGTTTGAAAAGGTGTTAGTAGGTTGGTGAAAGGTCTGGAGAATATGGCGGTGAGGTAGAACTTCAACCCCCAATTCGTTCAATTTATGGATAGTGATTTGTGAAACGTGTGGGCGGGCGTTGTCATGCAAAAGAATCGACCTTTCTGTTGACAAGTGCTGGCTGCAGCTGACGCAATTTTCGGTACATTTCGTCGATTTCTTCACAGTAGGACTCTGCTGTGATGGTTTGGCCTGGTGACAAAAAGTTATAGTGGATCACACCAGCCGATGACCACCACACTGTGACCATAATCTTTTTTTCGTGAGGATTCGGCTTTGGAAATTGCCTCGGTGGTTCGTCGGCATCCAACCACTGTCCGGAACGTCTCCTGTTATCATACATGATCCACTTTTCATCACAGGTGACAATTCGGTCCAAAAACGGGTCGTTTCTGTTGCGCAAAAGCAGTGAAGAAGAAACCTCGAGACGTGCCAATTTCTGCCGGTCACTCAAATTGTGGGGCACCCACTTATCGAGTTTTTTCACCTTCCCAATGCGTTTCAGACCATCCGCAACAGTGGATTTGCCAACGCCTAGCTTTTCTGCAATCTCTCGAACTGTTTGGGATGGGTCAGCCTCCACGCCTTCAAATCCTCGTCAGGTATTGCTTTAGGTCGACCGCTACGAGGTTCATCTTCAAAGGCTGAAATCTCCAGAACGAAATTTGTCGAACCATTGTCGCACGGTGCTTTCTCCAACACTATTGGGCCCCCACACCTGGTTAATTTGTCGAGCTGTCTCGACTGCGGATTGACCCAATTTGTAGTTGAAGAAAAATATCGTCCGAAGTTGCTCTTTTGACATGCTTCAAAAAGTCTTGGGAAAAGGGGGTTTATCAAGCAATGGTGAAACGGCAAATTAGACCATCAGATAGCGCAAAAAAATTCTCTTCAGGATGTACTACTGAGACGCAAGGGAGAATGAGTTTTTAATCAGCAATGAATGTACAAAAATAGTAACACAAAACGCTGAGAACTTTCCGGACAACCTAATACTTCCGCGCTTACAACTATGCCCGTGGACACGCTCTCCCTACACCGTGAGATGTGCTGTAGATTGTCGATCCATTGTAGAATTAGATTCAATATCAATTGATAGATAAGCTCTTTCTTTACATCGAACCATTTATGGGTTAAAATTTTCCCCCCCCTTAGAACATTAACCTTTTTGAGATGTTTCTCCATTTTTTTTTCAGGCAGCAAAAAGCTCGAAACCTAAAGAAGAGTGGACTGATTATAGCGTGATTCTCGGTCAAGATCATCAGAGGTTAGTTTGAAGGCCACTTATCGCTGGAGCGGAACTTTCTTCAAGCGAGAGCGTCGATATTGGTACGGACCGCAGTGCGACCGCACGCGTACATAATCTAGAATGCTTCATCGAGAACTCGCTTCAATTCCTCGCTTGTATTTCTCATGTCGATATTTTTAGGATGGTTCGGCCATACACCGGTGCAGCAACAATTGGTTTAGGATCTCTCAAGACCTCGGAGCAATCCGGTGTGCTCTCCAGAGCTGAGGTATGGCATTGTAGTATTTTGGAGTTGTTCAGAGTTGGGGATTTC